ATTTTATAAATAAAATAATTAAGTATTCTGTTATAACTCAATGATTATTCTAATTATATTTAGATTTTTATATTTAAAATGAGATATTTATCCTGTATTTTATTATGTTTGTCTGCAGTTAGTTATACGAAATTCAAATATGAATATTTAATAAATTGTACTTACGCACAATCTACTTGTAATCTTGAGTGTTAAGTAATATGCATTAATAAACAATACTTAATGCATAAAAAATAGTTTTTAAGAGTTCTTGTCAAATACTTTATAATATAGTATAGATATATTTTAATTTATTTAGTTTATTTTTATCTATTTTTTATATAAATTTCGAATTACTTTGCTTTTATTAATAGCTGGTTGGTTTGTTGTGTTCTTCAATAACTATGCTAAAATATGAATTTTTGTGGGTTTTGAGATTTTTTAGTTCCAACAAATATGAAATACTGCATTGAAGCCCTTACAAACTAATGAATGTAAACAAATAGCACGTCCTTCCACTAAACGGGTAGGATAAAATCTATATATATGTAAAAGGAAAACCAACACAAAGTGATGAGACGCCTTTTTAGAGTATGATTCTTAGCTATAAATTTTCTTTTTTTTATTGAATTTTTAAAATTATTAATTATGTTAAAGACTTTTATGCCCCTATATCATAACATGTATTTTTTTTTTATAATTAGGTTATTTTGGTAATTTTGCAACAACTTTTTGATTAACGTTTAACCTCCAAATCACTTTAAAATAGAGAAAAAGAGAAGCCGAAAATCTTCAAATTTGGAGAAATATCTAAAACCCAATATTTAAAATAGATAAATAATATTTTAATCTTTTCTGCTAGCAAAATGCGTAGAATTTAAATGCTTAGGAGACATGAATAATATTTTACTGAATGTATGAATATTTTAATAATATAATTAATGTTATATTCTCCAAAATAAAATAGTTGTTGGAGTTGAATGTAATTTTTTTGAAATTTTGACTTTCGTTACCATATTATAGGAAAAATATAGCATAATTGTTAGAGATGCTCTTAATCATTTCGATCGGTCTTTATGTACCTTTTCTTCTAAAGATCTTAGATCTTAGCATTTGTACCACCTCCAACTTTTCCGCTGCCACGTCTCCAACTTTAAGTGTGAATCTGACCATTTGATTTTGATGGTTCTGAAACAATTTACAAATAAATTATGAAGATAGGTAGAAAAAATGAAGAAATTACGAATTAGCTTACATACACACACATGCATATATATATA